TGTTGTGATGGATTCAAACATAATCGCGTTCAGATCTTATGATCTTGTGTTCCCATTCAGGTAGAAGGACGTCCTGTTCGGACAAAAGCATGAAAAGTTTTACACAACGAAGCCTGCAGACAAACAAAAAACCACAAGACCAATCAATTTACAGCAGAAAGACATGCCTACACCAGTCAGATAATCCTTAATCCTGCTTTTAAAGTCCTCCAAACTAATAAAGTGATCCGGTCTTTGGTGGCCTCGTGGCTCAGAACCAAAACATTAAAAACATTTTTACCAAAGACAGAGCGAGTCCGAGGGATGACGCACTGGATTTGTTCGCGGGGATGACGGTTTTCAAGAGGAATAAAGAGCGAAATAAAAAAGCAGGTCATGCAGTTTGGTCTTATAAAGGAGGAGACACCAACGCCTCATTCTTCCAGTTTGTAGAGAAGACACAAGTGATGTGTGCAAAAACCCAGAGCAGACACAGAGAGGTCAACACATGTAAGAGTCCAACAAAAACAACAACAACAATACTGCATGTAAGAAACATGCTGCAGAAAGACGATACAGCCACATACTAAAGATGCAACCACTGCTTCTCTATTATGATTGAACAATTACTAAATTCATGCAATGAAAAATTTTTAATATGTGGTGCTTCATTTTTGCAAAAATATGAAATCTGCTTGGTGGTAAACCAGGATTACCACCGCATCTCCGATCCACCGTTCGCCCAATTCCTACCACATCTGTTTGTGAGGCGAGTTTTGTGGTCGATTATGGACAGCAGAAGAACCTGCGAATTCACGTGCAATCGCGCGATAACAAGTTAGCAACAGAGGCTAACTATACAAGCAGCAGATTGTGTCCTTGAGATGATGATGATTCTAGACTTCTAGACTCAGCATGGAAATTGACACGTTTACTTGAATGGTTACGATCACCTACAATCGGCGGATACGGCCTTTTCGTAGCCGTTCTGGATGCGGTGGAAATTGGGGGTTAGACTTCATGAAGTCGTCTGCATGTCCTCTAAAGGGCGATGAGGCCGGCTGTAAGAGTCAGGATAATCCCAGATGGAAGGGTGCAGGATGTGAAGGGTGGTCATATTCAGACTCAGTGTGGAAGAGACACCAACGATTATACAGCCAACATGTCGTAATCAAAGCTACTCTCTGCTGATGTCAATGTGCAGATACATTTTTGCATCCCTAATTCAAATAAATCTGAACCTGTCTGAGAGAAAAACAAGGACTTAAAGTAAACATGAGTCTTCTCCTGTGATGTTTACAGCCATCACAGCCAGTTATATCATTCCCTATAGTCCCCAAGATATTTAGAAATATGACCCTGCCTTTAAAAAAAGCAGAATAGCCCTTTAAATCATGAGCACTGAAGTAGAATGAAAACACGCCTTTGCAAAGAAAAACAAAGCTGGAAAAAGAGGAAACCTGGCTCTGCTGCAGGAAAATACAGAAAAATAATGATATTTGATGAGAAGGTGATGGAAACCACAGCAGCTGCTTCATTAACGCTCAGTGTGAAGACGTTTTTACAGCGTATTTTAGTATCAGGATTGAACTGAAGCAGACGTGTTTCTTGAACGTCCACATGAGAGTTGTTTGCATTCAGAGCCTGTACGTCTCTCGCTGCCCCTGGTTGCCCATAAACGGCTCCTTATGTAACTGTTGTGTAACGGCACGGTCTACCTGACACCTCTTATTAAGTTGGCGGAGGAGCGTGAGGTGCTGCTGTCACACGTCTAGTCTCCCCATCAGACTCTGAATCAGCAGAAGACGCTTTCACCCGACAGTCTGCAGCTGCAGGAAGTCTCATCTAGGCCGTCTCGATCCTGAGCTGGCGGACGACCAGCCCACAGAGGTGACAGATGCCGCAGTGTCGGTTTCACGTAGTAATGAAAGTGGTTTCCCTTCCTAAAGGAGGGACGTGCTGAGCCGGGGCGAACAGGGAAAATCTAAAGTTCAGAGTAAAAGTCCCCCTGCATCATTTCAGATGTTCACAGTAGTGGTTATTTTCCTGCACAGTCATGTCTTTGTGAGGAATTAAAGTGTTTAAATGTCACATTTCTGAGATTCAGGTTTGCAAATTAAATGAATACAGAAAATCTACATCGAATGACTCCATCAGTGCATTTACAAGCACAGCTTACCCGGGATTTCCATCGCATCCGGAACGGGTCCGATCTGGACCAGCGGCGATTTTTGCCATACGCGAATTATTACCGGATCTTTTTGTGAGGCGAATTTCATGGCGGATTACAGACAGCAGGAATCGCAAGAACTCACAAGAACCTGCAAATCCACTTGCAACCACCATATCAAGTTGTCTTTAGCCACAGAGGCTAACCATAAAAGCAGTAGATTGTGTCCTTCCAGGGGAGGAAATCTACTTCTAGACGTCTAGAATCAGCATCTCCTCATCCATGGTGTCATCGGGGTGAAATGACGTCTAAAAACCTTTCACTTGTTCGGCCTTGCAGTTTGCATGATATGAAATACAATCCACCTGAAACACGGAGTGTTTTATTTTGAAAAGAAGCCGGATGTTTTATTTTGTGTCTGTGCCCGACTTCCTTTCCGGTGTAAATTTTTCTAACATGCTCTGGTGTCCAGAAAAAATAGAACTCTTGCGATCAGCTGCACAGTCCGCCGATCAGCTGCGAAACAGAAAGAAGTTCGTGGAAATTGACACATTGACTCGAATGGTTACAATCAGCTGTGATCAGCCGATACGGCCTTTTCGTAGTCGGATACGGTGGAAATTGTCAGTTAATCGGACTAAGCTCATAATTCGTTTTTTTTTTTTTTTTTTTGCCAAATCAGACTTCCCTCCTTGTCCTCGTTTACATGCAGCTGAGAAAATCAAATTATTGACGTGTCCTCCTCCCTAAAACTAGGGGGCGATATGGGTCTTCGCATTATCTGGGTGTCTTAATCGGAGTTAATCTCAAACTCTGATTATAGTCGGACTAAGATGTTTACATGCACTTTAGTTATCTGATCTTTATCAGAGTAAGGCAATAATTCTGTCTTCTCGAGTGTCATGTAAACTTACTGTATTAAACAGTTAAAGAAGGCTGGGTTAGGGTCAGAGTAAAACAGCACTGCGTGTCTAAGAAGGGCCCACTTAGGAAACAGTAGGCCTACAGTAGACGCTCAGCATCTGTGCGATGAGGATATCTACTTAAAGGTGCAGGTTGTCACTCAGTTTTATTTGCACTTCCGTTTCTTTTCTAGGGAACTGATTCGATGTTAATCCGGTGTGTCAGGTCCCCGAGGCTTCCTCATACTCCACTGTAAATCTCGTCACACCGTCAGAAAACATCTGAGCCCGTCTCCTGTCACACCTTCTCAGCGTCACAGCTGATCGTGTGAAAAGTTTTTACAACTTTCTGAAACCAATCCAACGAGCACACCCACATCCCAGAGCCGCGGGGGGAAAACTGTGTTTCCCTTGAGAGAAAACTGTGAATGCGGCACGTTTTAAAACACATGAATGCAAATTCAAAAATAGTCCAGGATTGAATCGATTCTGTACTTTTGAGTCTTAAATTCTCACGCACATTTAAAGTGTACCGCTGAAAATCATGAGACACTCTGTGAACCTGAGGTCTCGGGTCTTGCTGCTGCCCTGGGCTGAAAGGAGGACTGGATAAGTTCTACGTCAGGGTTCTGGGAGCAGAATTGAATCCCTCCTGTGACTCTCGTCATGCCCGGGGTTAGTGGAGGTGAAGTAAAGAGCGTCTTAGGTGATGAGCGGCTACAGAGAGGACCTTTTCTTTGATTTTACTGTAACACAGGATCCTCAACTACCAGGCCGTGGACCAGTACCAGGCCTTGAGTGGTTTCGATCCAAGCCCCTGGTCACACTTGAAGAAATAAAAAGGTCAAGTTTCCTCCATCGTCATGGAAACAGGTCAGGAACTCCTCATCGTGTTTGCTAACAGTAGTCAGGTGACCTCTGATGCTGTTGTCAGCTGTTGTTTGTTGTCAGTCGAACAGTCAGGTGACTACAGTTGTCATCACACCCGAAGCTTGTGACCTTTGACCTTAGTTGTTTAGGTAACAAGCGCTAGGTGACCTTTGCCGTCATAGCCAGGTGACCTTTGTTATCCTGCTGCCAGACGCAGGTCTTCCTGTTGTCGTGGTAACACTGAGGAGGGTTTTGTCGTAAAACTATCAGTTTGTCTGAGTGAACTTTTGTCGGAGTTTGAGTCCACGAAGTTTCACTTTGTTAAACTAAACATTTGTTAGGGTTAGGGTCCAAGGGGTTAGGGTCTAGGGGGTCAGGGTTAGGGGTTAGGGGTTAGGATAAGGATCAAGGGGGTTAGGGTTAGTGCGTAGGGATGGGTCAGGGTCTAAGACGTTAGGGAAAGGGTCTAGAGGGTGAGCATAAGGGTCTAGAGGGAAAGGGTCAGGGTCTAGGGGGTTAGGGTTAGGGTCTCAGTGGTTATGGTTAGGGTCTAGAGGGTTAGGGTTAGGGTCAGGGTCTAGAGGATTAGGGTTAGGGTCTAGAGGGTGAGGGTAAGGGTCCAAATGGTTAGGGTCAGGGTCTAGATTGTTAGGGTAAGGGTCTAGAGAGTTAGGGTCAGGGTCTGGGGGTTAGGGTAAGGATCTAGGGGGCTTAGCTTAGGGTCTAGGAGGTTAACGTTAGGATCTAGAGGGTTAGGGTCAGGGTCTAGATGGTTCAGGTCAGGGTGTAGACCAGGCATCTCCAAACTATTCCACAAAGGGCCGGTGTGGCTGCAGGTTTCTCTTCCAATCTGCCTTTTGATTGGTTGGAAGAAAAACCTCCAGCAACACTGGCCCTTTGTGGAATAGTTTGGAGATGCCTGGTCTAGAGCATTGGGGCCCGGGTCTAGAGGGTTAGGAGCCGAGTCTAGGGGTAAGTGTCTAGATGGTTGGGGTAAGGATCTAGATTGTTAGGGTAAGGGTCTAGAGGGTTAGGATCTAGGGGGTGAGCAATAAAGAAAACTCGTTGTCAGCCTCAGTCTACAGCACTTCACTCTCTTTCTCTCTGTCTTCACTCTTGTTGAATCTGGTCTCTGGAAGCTGTTAACACAATGAAAGAGGAAACACATCTCTGTGGTGAACCGACAGCCGGAGTCCAGTGGTTTTCACTTGTAATTTACTGGAAATGCTAACTCTAAACCCAGTTCTTAAAAAGACAGACTTCACTGGAATCCTTGAGTTCAGCAGTTACAGTACAGGACTTGCATAATGGACTTTAATTCCTCCGTAAATCTGTCTTTCCTCTCAGGAAATCTTTGCAGTGTTTTTATTTTCGAGGAAATCTTGACAAAGACAGTAAGACGTGTTTCCAAAACCTTTACATAACACCTGTGTCTTCGGTTTGGACGGTTCACAGAACTGTAACCCTGCTCCGGTTCTTCATCAGGTTCATTTCCATGCTTTTCATCAGCCTGAGGTTTGGTTATGTAACATGAAAAGACCGTCAGAATCAGTCCGAGCCCGTCTGCACACAACAAATGACACAAGCTCTCATCACCGGCGTACCTGCCCGAACAGGTGTGTCAGGGTACGTCTGTGTGTTAGCAGGGTCAGAGGGTGAGCCACGAGAATTTGATCCTTTATTCTGCGTTTGTGAGTCACGCCACAGTCGGCTTTTATATCAGCAGAGAGGCTGAACTGTGGCGAGCCGAGAGACAAATATCGGTCTGAGTGGTGGTTGAGACCAGCAGAGAGCACATAAAGCTGCACCTTCCATCCCGTCATACTGGTGCTATGTACTGGTCTCAGTGCCAGCGCGGTGGCTGTGGTCTGGAGGGTGCATGCCGTTCCTTGCTGGTGCTGACACCAGCTCATCGGGTTGCCAGGTGGAGCGATAATTTCTCTCTTTTTTTTTTCTGTCCTAGAGATGCAGAATGGAAACACATCCATTTACACTCAGACGCTTCTCTTTTTCACCAAACTGTTATTGTTTTGGAATCTGGTTTCATAATCCATCATCTGCTCAGCGGCCTGGGTTTTATTTTGGTTTCCCTTCATCTGAAGATATTCTCTGACTCATTTGCACATGTTTGTATCCTCTGTTGTACAGTTTAAATTATTCTGTGTATCTGCCCGGACTTTTTTTATCTGTGTCTGATGGCAGAAGATTCCTCTGATTTAACCAAAATACAGCTGGTGTTTGCATAATCCTGCTGAAAGGAATCAGAATCAGAAACTTTACGAGCTGGACTGTTTACCTTTGACGCAAGAGAAGGAGAAGTTCCTATCTGCTAAAATGGAAATTTCAATTCTGAGTAACTTATTAGTCTAAATGTTAGAAAACGGATCATAGAGGCTGCAAGAAAACAATGCCAGCTTCTGTGCCGGTCACACCTCGCTCTTATTTCTGCAGCATTTACCCAAATGAAGACCTGTCCCAGATTTGCAGATCGTTCAGCAACATCAGCTGAAAGTTTAGCATTAAAAAAATTACCAAAATAAAGACCTGAGATCAGCAGAATCAGCCACAGAGGCAGTGGCGGCTTTATTAAAACACTCATTTCTGGGTTAAAACTCATTTCACTAAAAGCAAGAGCTAAAAAAAGGTTATACAGAGATTTACCAACAAATAATGACATAAATTTGGTTATGTAAGATTATTGCATTACTGTGTTATGTAAAGATTTATTGATGATTGTCCTCTAATACTTTCTCTGTCTTTCTAAAAGGATTCGAGGTGTGACCTGAAACCCTCTGACCCTCTGAATCGGGCTGCAGGTCTCTGCAGAGTCAGAGAAACTCCTCTGAAATCCCGCCTGATGAAACCGCTGCAGGCTCAGATTCTCCTAAAGCTCAGTGACCCGATGTTTGGGGATAAAACTGAAAATTTCATCACAGGATTTACTGCCTGCTCTGTCGAGGAGCTTTTATTATATCAGCGGCGGTACGCTAACCGACTGTTACCTAAGATTCAATATCAGCTCTGGGTGTTATCTGTAAACCAGCAGAGAGATCTAACCCTGTCAATATTAGCCATCAAAGCAGGGGGTCCAGGACAGGATGAGGATCAGGTGAATGTTCTCCTGCTTTAAGACATCTGGACTCATAATCTCTGACCTTCCCTGTGATTTTACTCTCAAGTTTTATCGTCTTTGAAGCTGAATTTAGATGTTTTCCATATGAGCACTGAGTCAAAAACGGTCATGACAAACCGACAGTGAGCTGCTCCCATCAGATCTGGAAGCAGAGGTTGTTTTAGGGTTAAATCTGAACAGGGAAACGTTCCCCCCTCAGCCTGTTGACACTGTGGCAAAAACGTCTCAGGCTGGTCTAAAGAGTTGGGAAATGATGAATCTAAGGAGGCAGCCTGAGGAGCGACTGGACCCGGTGTAGGTACCAGATGTGTTTGGGCTGCCAGATCAGCCCGGATCCATAGACTGTATATACTATGGAGTACTTGGTTCCGCCTTCCGCCAGTATACGAATTTGAAGCCAAAAAGCTCTCGGTATTTCTGTTTTTTTTTTTTTTTCCATTTCCTGAAACCAACATTGCGCAGCAGCGTTGTACGTATTTGGCGGGAGAGTCGCTGTGATGACGCTCGGCTCGAACAGTGTATCCCCCGGGTGAGTTACGCAATCTTCGTACGCCTCTAGGCTGTATCAAGTGTCAATCATAGAAAACATGAACCCCCTGATAATTTTTTAAAACGGAACTGGAAAAACGGAAAAAAAATGGGACTTAAGCACAAACCAGTCTAACCCGGGATCCCACTGGATCCGGAACGACTCCGCTCCGCTCTGGACCGGCAGGCGGATCAGATACGCAAGAATACAGCACCCACTGGATCCTATCCGCCACCGGTATTAGCAGAGAAGCTCTTCCGAGATTACAGATTTTTCTCGCGAGACTGAACGAGATCTCACAAGATCTCGCGTGTTTGCCCGAGAGTCATTGAATGAGATCCACCAGTCGGTGTATATAAACACCCACAACCCTGGCCTCTCCTATTAACAAGCCAAGAACAGTTCAACTTATTGACTTTCTTTTATTTTGAAAATTAACTGGATATTTTACTCTGTAGCTGCATACAACTTCCGTTGCTGCTCGCACTGCAATGCACTAAATTGATGCACCGGCTCCAGCTTCTGGCAAAAATAGAAGCCTTGTATATCTGATCCGGCCGCCGTAGCCGATCCGCAGTGGAGCTGGACAGTGGATGGATTCTGTGAAATGACACGCATTGATTATAATGCTTGAGTATTTGATCTGCCTGCCGCGCCGGAGCGGAGCAGAGCCGTTTAAGATCCTGTGGGTTTTAGCCGTTACAGTAACTACATGTCAACATCCCAACCAGGGGGGAGAAACATTTATATTCTGTGTCATTCATTTAGAAAGTTTGTCGACAGCTCCATAAGCTTTGCTGTAGGAGGCGGGATTTATGACCTATACTGCAGCCCGTCACCAGAGGGTGCTGTTCTCGCGGTGGCTTTACCCAGAGAGGAGGCAGACGTCACACTCGGACAAACTCCATTTTAATCAGTCAAATATGTTCGGTTAAATGCCTCTTACCGTTTTCTTTATTCCGTTTGTTCAGTCAATTGACCTCTAAATGTTCCTCAAAAAGAATTACAACTGACTCCACTGTAGTTTTTAGATGGTTTTAATTGTAAATGTTAACTTTCTAAAGGAAAATGAAAAAACAGATGTACGCAGGATCTCCATTTATCAATAGATAGTTTTGCTTTTATTTCCTAAAAGAGGCGTTAGTCCGGCTGTTATTAGTCTCCTTTGAGAAGTAGCGATAGATTGCTTTATAAAATTCGTCCATGTTTTCTCCAAAGAACTACAATCCCATGAAACCTGACTCCTGATAACGTCCGGATCAACCATAATCTTCTACGTCATCCAAACCAACTTACAGCCAATCATATCGCATGACGTCATCAATAGGCCCGGGGCCCAGAGCTGATCTGGCAGCCTGAACACACCTGGTACCTACACCAGGTTTTCTCTGATAGGGAAAAAGTGGAGTGACATCCTGTCCTGCAATCCGTGCACAAAAAGATTGAAAACTGAAAAAAACGAGTGAGCCCAAACATGACGGCATTGACAGATTTTTGTTGGTACAGCACACCGCGCACTTTCAGGGTGCGTTCAACGACAATGACGAAAAAACAAACATGGTGGCTCAACGCTGCGTCTCTGTGATCGAGACGTGTTTCCCAGGACTCTTGTAAACACTCGTCACGCCGCCACTAATCAACAAGTCGGCTCTGCATTTGTGGCGCCCACCTAACTTCACGTGTCGTGTTTACTTCCGTCACCGCGGCTTTCTCTCTCCGTCAGCGCCCTGATTATTTCCCTTCCCTATTGTTTCAGTCCACGTGAGGTGAAGAGTGCACGCTTGGATTGTTCACGAGTAAGTGAGTGTTTGCAAACACTTCAGCAGCAATAACTTTATCGTGCAACACTTGGACATTAGGTGTTGTGTTTATTTTAGTGCCCCGTTGTGGCTACTGTATAAACCGAGTGGAGCAGACTCTGCAGAACGGTAACAGCTCTTTATTGTCTTCCCACTTTAAAAACAGAAGGTCATGAGCATCTGCTGCAGCTGCTTTATTGCTCAGGATGCCGTTTAGCTTTTTTGGTAGGAGAAATAAACGATAACGAGAGGTTGAGACAAGATTGCAATCCTGTTAGATGTAATTTTAAGAGGAAGAAAAGGTGATGAGATGTAAAAACTAGGATATTATTTCCTTGAGTCGTCATGATTCATCATTTTTCCTCTAATATTTGAACTTTATTCTCTCAGTATGATGTTGACCTCTGATATTTTTCTATTTGATCGCCGAGGGTCAGAACGAGACGTTGATATTTTGCAGAGCGATCGCTGACCTCATCTCTATTCGCAGCCGTCTCTGTTATTTTTCCCTCCAATAATCACCTCATAAAACGGAGTGTTGCTGCATTATTCTGGGATCATTCTCTCAACGCAGCATGACACAACAGAAATACACCTCCTCTGAATACAGCACACACACACACACACACACACACACACACACACACACACACACACACATTTGATCCGTGCTGAATTTAGCATCACAAATAGCAGCTCATTGTTTAAAAAGCAGATTACATCACACTGGGTCTTTCAGTAGAGCTCTCTGCTTGTGTTAAGACGTTATAGGACAATGCACTCCTGAAGGACACGGTGGTTAACACACACACACACACACACACACACACTGACTGTACATGAGTTCACTGTTTATAAATGGACATGTTGTGCTGTGTCTCTCCTCTGTCACCGGGCAGGATGTGCCTCCCTCCCTCTCTTATCCTTCCTCTCAACGTTCCGCTGTCTGCCACTTCACAAACGACCCGCTGCTGCTTTTTGTCCCTGCAGGTACCCATCAGTCCCTCTGACCTCCAAGAACAGATTCTGTACAATAGGTGCAGTCTTTAAAAAAAGGTGAGGATCTGTCGTTGTCACCTGTGATCATCTATCGGAACAATCTGGACGAGTTTCTCTCTGATCTGCTCCGATAGGCCGACCTGAAACCGAGAAAAAAAAACCTCTATCGCAATCATCCAAGTTAAAAGACAATGAAACGTTATGTTAATGTTGAAACAATCTCTGTATACGAAGATGAAAATCACGTCTCTGCGTCTTCATGATGCACAAAAGTGAAGCCAAAATAAACCCAATCACAGCTTGAACTTGTGACTTTTTTCACTGACCCGGACTCTGCAGCAGGAATCAGCTGATGGAGCCTGAAAAGGTCAGCGCACACAGAGCTGTGAGAGCTGCAGTAACCTCCAGAGCGGACAGTCCTGACAGTTTTGGAAGCATAAAGAAGCTCATCAA